GTCTCTCCAGAGATGTTCCATCGGGTTCAAGTCTGGGCTCTGGCTGGGCTATTCAAGGACATTCAGAGACTTGTCCCAAAGCCACTCCTGCGTTGTCTTGGCCGTGTGCTTAGGTTCATTGTTTACATTTACGTCATTTAGCAGACGCTCTTATCCAGAGCGACTTACAGTTAGTGAGTGCATACATTATTAATTTTTAATTTTTCATACTGGCCCCCATGGGAATCGAACCCACAACCCTGGCGTTGCAAACACCATGCTCTACCAACTGAGCTACATCCCTGCCGGCCATTCCCTCCCCTACCCTGGACGACGCTGGGCCAATTGTGCGCCGCCCCATGGGTCTCCCGGTCGCGGCCGGCTACAACAGAGCCTGGATTCGAACCAGGATCTCTAGTGGCACAGCTAGCACTGCGATGCAGTGCCTTAGACCACTGCACCACTCGGGAGGTCCTGTTGGAAGGTGAACCTTCGCCCCAGTCTGAGGTCCTGAGCGCTCTGGAGCAGGTTTTTATCTAGGATCTCTCTGTACTTTGCTCCGTTCATCTTTCCCTCGATCCTGTAGTCTCCCAGTTCCTGCCGCTGAAAAACATCCCCACAGCATGATGCTGCCACCACCATTCTTTACCGTAGGGATGGTGCCAGGTTTCCTCCAGACGTGACGCTTGGCATTCCGGCCATAGAGTTCAATCTTGGTTTCATCAGACCAGAGAATCTTGATTGTCATGGTCTGAGAATCCTTTAAGTGCCTTTTGGCAAACTCCAAGCGGGCTGTCATGTGGCTTTTACTGAGGAGTGGCTTCCATCTGGCCACTCTACCATAAAGGCCTGATTGGTGGAGTGCTGCAGAGATGGTTGTCCTGGAAGGTTCTACCATCTTCACAGAGGAACTCCGGAGCTCTGTCAGAGTGACCATTGGGTTCTTGGTCACCTCCTTGACCAAGGCCCTTCTCCTCCGATTGCTAAGTTTGTCCAGGCGACCAGCTCTAGGAAGAGTCTTGGTGGTTCCAAACTTCTTCCATTTAAGAATGATGGAGGCCACTGTGTTCTTGGGGACCTTCAATGCTGCAGAAATGTTTTGGTACCCTTCCCCAGATCTGTGCCTCGACACAATCCTGTCTCGGAGTTCTACGGACAATTCCTTCGACCTCATGGCTTGGTTTTTGCTCTGACATGCACTGTCAACTGTGGGACCTTCTATAGACAGGTGAGTGCCTTTCCAAATCATGTCCAATCAATTGAATTTACCACAGGTGGACTCCAATCAAGTTATAGAAACATCTCAAGGGTGATCAATGGAAACAGGATGCTCCTGAGCTCAATTTTTGCAACATTTTCTAAAAACCAGTTTTTCGCTTTGTCATTATGGGGTATTGTGTGTAGATTGATGAGTAAAATGTTTTATTTAATCCATTTTAGAATAAGGCTGTAACGTAACAAAATGTGGAAAAAGTCAAGGGGTCTGAATACTTTCTGAATGCACTGTACATGGCTACCTCAATTACTCATTGTTATTCGTTATTCACTGTGTAATTATTCCTCGTGTCACTATTTCAATATTTTTTTTTTTTGCATTGTTGGAAAAGGACCCGTCAGTAAGCATTTCACTCGTAGACCTGTTGTCTACGAAGCTTGTGACAAATACAATTTGATTTGATTGATTTGATTTTGTCTCTACATCTCTTCTATCAGCGAATCAAAGGCCTAGCCTGCTGTATGTCTCAGTCTGGTCTCGTAGACTAGACTTAACATGGTAAACTATGAAAGTGTATGCACTCACTAACTGTAAGTCGCTCTGGATAAGAGCGTCTGCTAAATGACTAAAATGTAAATGTAAATGTAAAGCCAAGACACTCAAATTAGTATGATATGTTACCTTTACTTAAGACAAAAATGAAAGGAGGGTGCGTGTTCGAATCTCGTCACGGACAACTTTAGCGTTTTAGCTAGTTAGCAACTTTGCACCTACTTACTACTTTTTAGCTACTTTGCACATCTTAGCATGTTTGCTAACCCTAACCTTAACCCTTTTAGCTAACCCTTCCCTTAACCTTAAACCTTTTAGCTAACCCTTCCCCTATTCCTAACCTTAACCTTTTAGCTAACCCTTACCCTAAACCTAACCCTTTAACCTAACTCCTAACCTTAACCCCTAACCCCTAGAGCTCGCTAACGATAGCATTAGCCACCTAGCTAACGTTAGCTACAACAAATTGGTATTCGTAACATATATACGATTAGCAGATTTGTAACATATTTTACAAATTGTAATTCGTAACATATTGTACGAATTGCAATTCGTAACATATCATACAATGATGGACATCCACAAGTTAATACATACCACACGAACCCGTAACATGTCATTCTAAATGGAGCGTCTCGATTTACTAACAGAATAATACGAAATGCTCTGAGACCAGGTTGCATCTCTACAGCTCTTCTGTCAGCAAGTCCAAATTGTGGGTGTGTAGCAGTGCAATTGGTATAATTTATAAAGGCCGGTTCTTCTAGTTTAAACTAATCACTGCACCCTTGCTATCATTTACACAAAAAAATATATGACTGTCAACATTTAATTCAGACCAGAGGGTTGACCTCTGAAGTGTCACTGTTAACATTGTGTGACATACTCTGACGGGTGCTTATGCACAGACAGGCGTTGTCATATGCCGCGTTCAAGACAACTCGGAAATGTACGACTTGGACACTCGTTGAAGAAAGATGAGGCCCGAGTTTCCCACTTGGAAAATATCAGAATAGACCAATAGGAAGCGCTACACAAAAAACGTGGATACATTTGAACTCGGAGGTACCAAGTTTCCGAGTTGTCTTGAAAGCACCATAGTCGCAGCATCACGCACACAGCGCTCAGAGAGATGCAGATAATCGTGAACCGGAGCTTCCAAGTTCAGACGCTTATCACGCGTAGCGCTCCTCCTAACCAGCCAGACAATATGCGATGACTTGCGTTCTCTCTGCCCGCTACAGCTGAAAAACAACGATTAATAACAATTCTGAATAGTCTGGAATTGTTTTCGCTGCAGTCATGGCAGGCCTGCTTCCCCCGCTTTTATTCGGTAAGTCTTGTTTTTATTATGGCAGGTCTGCTCCGCTACTGTAGTCTAGTTACTGTTATTGGTGTCGCATGATAGCCCAATCAATGTAAACTACGCGCTTAATCTCTTTCAATTGAATGTTGCTTGGTTGTTGAAACGTTGATACAAAATTGTATCATTTGTATTTATTTCAATTATGCTTAATCGTGTATTCTAACATGATCCTTTCTACCATGAATTCTCAACAAAAGCTCAATATGACTCACTGTGTGTGAGTGTCTGCAGTGATCATAAATCATAGGCCGTGTTTTCTAATGCAATATCCACATTTTTACATTTTAGTCATTTAGCAGACGCTCTTATCCAGAGCGTCTTACAGTTAGTGAGTTTGTCCAATGTGAAGATGTCCAATGTGATGTAGTGATTGTGAAGGATGTGAAGGATGTCCAAATGCGGTGCAATGATTGTGAATGAAGGAGTGCACATGTGAAGGGTTAGGGGTCATCATACTATCTACCTTTAAAGCTCCCTACCTGCCTATGCAGTGCTGCAAAGTCCGCTAGACTCTGTCTGCAGTCCATTCTCCTATTCTCACAGCAGCATTCTGGAGAGTATTCAAGGCTGGTTGAATAGTCATTAATCATGGTATTGACCCCCATCAGATGTACATCGCCCTTCTGATTGGGTAGGAGAAGGAGATAGAAGACGTCAGTGAAAGTCCTGAGATAACTCTTCAGAACAATCAGCTAAAGTGCTGGTGTGTGTAGAATATCATTGTGCACATACACCATTAGCTAAAGATGAATATGTCTTGGGTTAAAAATGAAGAATTACACAATCAATGTCAAGTCCAATGTAATACAATGATTGTGAAGGATGTCCAATGTAATACAATGATTGTGAAGGATGTCCAATGTAATACAATGATTGTGAAGGATGTCCAATGTAATACAATGATTGTGAAGGATGTCCAATGTAATACAATGATTGTGAAGAATGTTCAATGTAATACAATGATTGTGAAGGATTTTAAGGATGTCAAATGCGGTGCAGTGATTGTGAAGGATGTGAAGAATGTCCAATGTGTTGCAGTGACTGTGAAGGATGTGAAGAATTGTCCAATGTGTTGCAGTGATTGTGAAGGATGCGAAGGATGTCCAATGTGATGCAGTGATTGTGAAGGATGTGAAGGATGTCCAATGTGATGCTGTGATTGTGAAGGATGTGAAGGATGTCCAATGTGATGCAATGATTGTGAAGGATGTCCAATGTGATGCAGTGATTGTGAAGGATGTGAAGAATGTTCAATGTAATACAATGATTGTGAATGATTTTAAGGATGTCAAATGCGGTGCAGTGATTGTGAAGGATGTGAAGAATGTCCAATGTGTTGCAGTGACTGTGAAGGATGTGAAGAATGTCCAATGTGTTGCAGTGATTGTGAAGGATGTGAAGGATGTCCAATGTGATGCAGTGATTGTGAAGGATGTCCAATGTGATGCAGTGATTATGAAGGATGTCCAATGTGATGCAGTGATTATGAAGGATGTCCAATGCAGTGCAGTGCAGTGATTGTGAAGGATGTCCAATGCAGTGCAGTGATTGTGAAGGATGTGAAGGATGTCCAATGTGATGCAGTGATTGTGAAGGATGTCCAATGTGATGCAGTGATTATGAAGGATGTCCAATGTGATGCAGTGATTATGAAGGATGTCCAATGCAGTGCAGTGCAGTGATTGTGAAGGATGTCCAATGCAGTGCAGTGATTGTGAAGAATGTCCAATGCGTTGCAGTGATTGTGAAGGATGTCCAATGTGATGCAGTGATTGTGAAGGATGTCCAATGTGATGCAGTGATTGTGAAGGATGTGAAGGATGTCCAATGTGATGCAGTGATTGTGAAGGATGTCCAATGTGATGCAGTGATTATGAAGGATGTCCAATGCAGTGCAGTGCAGTGATTGTGAAGGATGTCCAATGCAGTGCAGTGATTGTGAAGAATGTCCAATGCGTTGCAGTGATTGTGAAGGATGTCCAATGTGATGCAGTGATTGTGAGTGAGTGCACCTACAGCAGCATCCTGGAAACTATTGAGAGCAGGGAATAGTCATTAATCATGCTATTGACCCCCATGATGGGGAAGAAGACGACAAAGTAGCACACACACACACACACACACACACACACACACACACACACACACACACACACACACACACACACACACACACACACACACACACACACACGAAGGATGTGGTTCCTTAGGTCCAAACCAGCTGGTTAACAACATTGCCCCTTCCAGAGCTCAGCAGGAGAGCAGAGAACCAGATGATTTCCATGCAAAGGGCTGCTATAGAACACAAGGAGGAACAATGGATACAGAGGAAGTTGGCCTGCAACAGAGAGATGTCAGGGAAGGAAATAATTGGTATATACTGTGGAATCAATATTTATGAACATATTTATTTTTTTGTCATTTAGCAGACACTCTTATCCAGAGCGACTTACAGTTAGTGATAGCATTATTTATTTTTTTCATACTGGGCCCCCGTGGGAATTGAACCCACAACCCTGGCGTTGCAAGCGCCATGCTCTACCAACTGAGCTACACGGGGCCATGATCATCTATAGATCCTGTTCCAAGTAAAGGAAACAATTATATAGTATCTGTTTGGTATGACGTATTAGTGTTGTTGTTGTTGTTGTTGTTGTTGTTGTTGTGCGAGTATGAATTATTACAGTCAGTAGTACTTAGCCTTTCTATCAGTCATGGGTCAATGAAGTGACATTCCAAGTAACGTTTTGTGAGTGGTCATAGTCTCAGTCCTGGGTGATCTCCAAGTCTTGTCCATGAAGCTAGATGCAGAATACGCTTTGAAGCTAGATGTAGAAGCCATTACTGCGTCAGCCCCTTGGTGAAGAAGGGCTGCTTTTCCAAATGGCACTCTATTCCCTATGGTCCCTGCTCGGTAGTGCACTGTATAGGGAACTGGGGTGTCATTGGGACGTATCCAAGGTTAGACGCAGACAGCCATGTGGAAACTCGGAGAGAGTACAGAACCAGATCAGTACTATAATAGCTGACCAGTAGCCCAGAGTAAATTATGTGGTTCAGTGAAACACGTTCCCATGATGCCTTACCTTGCCTGAGACCTACCTGAAGACTTGTGTTAGCTACCTGAGCTCCAGCCTTTAGCTCAACGCGCTAACACAGCCTCATGGTGTGACTGTGAGGGACACACAGGTTCAAACCCAGTTAGTCTACAGTAACTGGCTATCTTTGTGCTGAGTCACAGAGCCTTGCAGTTACTGTAGATAAGGATAAGTAAGGCTGGCTCCTCTTTGGCCACGGCAGGACAGTGAGGTCACAGCTACATTGCATTACCAAGACAGAGGTTTAGGCTATTCCTTTTTCCCAAAACACACTTTCCAGGCTGTGGCTTTTCTTTATGCAGAGTCACACAGAGGCTTTGGAGTTAGATAAGGACAAGCCTTTACAGCTGGTAGACCTCCTATCACACTAAATCAAACACATCCCTGTCCTCTTCCTGGCGTGGCTCTGTCTGTCTGTGCTGGCTCTTCAAACACATCCCTGTCCTCTTCCTGGCGTGGCTCTGTCTGTCTGTGCTGGCTCTTCAAACACATCCCTGTCCTCTTCCTGGCGTGGCTCTGTCTGTCTGTGCTGGCTCTTCAAACACATCCCTGTCCTCTTCCTGGCGTGGCTCTGTCTGTCTGTGCTGGCTCTTCAAACACATCCCTGTCCTCTTCCTGGCGTGGCTCTGTCTGTCTGTCTGTGCTCTCCAAACACATCCCTCTGTGTGTGACCGGTTCCAGGCATACGCAAAATAAGAGGTTGCTTGGGGCCTTATCCTTATCTACAGTAACTGCAAGGCTCTGTGACTCAGCATATAGAAAGCCATGGCTAGGATGTGTGTTTTGGGAATAAGGAATACATCTCAGTCTTCTTGCCATGTGGCTGGTGAGGTGGCAGAGACACAGTGGAGCTTATATGTGACCTCATAGTTCAACGTACTCAGACAGTGTGGGGTGTGATAGCCCAGCCTGTAGTGGTGACAGAGACACAGGGGAGCTTATATGTGACCTCATAGTTCAACGAACTCAGACAGTGTGGGGGGTGTGATAGCCCAGCCTGCAGTGGTGACAGAGACACAGGGGAGCTTATATGTGACCTCATAGTTCAACGAACTCAGACAGTGTGGGGGGTGTGATAGCCCAGCCTGCAGTGGTGACAGAGACACAGGGGAGGCCCAGTGTGACCTCGTAGTTCAACATATTCAAACAGTGTGGAATTAAGCTGGTTGGACTCTAGACTGTATTAAGCCATTTGTGGTTAAGACTGGGGAGAAGACAGGAGCACATTTCTTAACAGGTTAAAGACTGACAGGTGTCACTCAAGTGCTTAGTGACTTCATGTCCATCTGTCACAGCCATATATATTATCTGATTTGAGTTATTTAGCAGACACTCTTATTCCAGAGTGACTTACAGTAGTGCATGCATACATTTTCACATACTGGTCCCCCGTGGGAATCAAACCCACAATCCTGGAGTTGCAAGTGCCATGCTCTACCAACTAAACTACACGGGAACACACACAGGCCCGATTAAGACAGCGCAATTTAACACTATGGAAAAACACAGAGACAAAGGCTATACATTTACAGTATTAACTTCTATTTGTAAGGAAATCTTATTTTAGTAATGCTTTATTTCACAGCCCGATTTAAGCTGGTACTTACCTGGTATTATCTAAGAAATGGATGGAAATCTTCTCTCTCTCTTTCCTTCTCTTTCTCTTTCCTTCTCTCTCTCTTTCCTTCTCTCTCTCTTTCCTTCTCTCTCTCTTTCCTTCTCTCGTTCCTTCTCTCTCTTTCCTTCTCTCTTTCCTTCTCTCTCTCTTTCCTTCTCTCTCTTTCCTTCTCTCTCTCTTTCCTTCTCTCTTTCCTTCTCTCTCTCTCTCTTTCCTTCCTTCTCTCTCTCTTTCCTTCTCTCTCTCTTTCCTTCTCTCTTTCTTTCCAGGCTCCACACTGTTGTTCCTGCTGTCATGTGACGCCCTGCTGAGTGATGGGCCACACACCCTGCTGTCGCCCTCCCAGCCCTCCCAGCCCTCCCAGCCCTCCCAGCCCTCTCCTCTGTCCCTCACCAACCTGGACCAGGATGTGGAGGAGCAGCCTGAGATGATGACAGGTACGTTAGAGAAGTGGACCAGAAACCAGAGGGTCGCTGGTTCAAATCCTATGCCCGACAGGGAAATCTGGTGGGGCATAGGCTAGCATCAGTATCCTAGAGCAAGGTATTTTATCCCCAAACTGCTCCAGGGAGTGTGACTTGGGGGTTTGGGGGCGAAAAGACAAATGTCTGTGAACTGTAGGGAAAATGTACAATGGAGTAAAGTATTATTCTCTGTAGTTCCAGGCCCCACAGTACCAGGCCTAACCTCCCAGGGACAGGAGACGTCCTCAGGGTTCTTCAGTGAGGACAACAAGCCTCTCCAGTCCTCTGTTCATCTCTGGGATGATATCAGAGACCAAGTCAACATCACTGGTCTGGACAGGAACTCCCTCAGAGGTACGTAGACTATGTATACGAAAGTGGTATGTCCTTTCTGTCAGACATCAGAGTTCCCCTGCTATATCTTATCCACTCTTTCGTGCCAAGGACAGGAGAAGGACAGGGAAGACCTTTGATAGCGTGACATGGCAGCAGGTAATGTGTCCCAAACAGCAGGACTGGACGCTCACCACCACACGCACTATAGAAGTTAATACGATATTGCTGAAATTGGTATATTTAGGCCCAGAACTGTTTATTGTGGTGGGCTGGGCACAGGCAGAGCACTGCAGAATTATTCTACATTATGTCTGCGCTGAGAGAAAGTCGATTATGATTCCTTGCATTACGCAGAAGAAGGAATGGGGATATCATTCACTGCCCAAACAGGCACGCGCACGCCACAGCGGCAGACCCTGGGTTCAAATTATATTTGAAATAATTTAAAATACTTTATCTGTGCTTGACTGAGCTCACCTATCTTAATAGACAAATGAAATAGTCCCAAAACAGCAAACTCCGCCCATCTGGCACTCCAGGCAGGCTATAGCAAAGTATTTTAATGATTTCAATTAATTTTTGAACCCATGTCTGCACGGTGGTAGCAAACGGGATTCCATGCTGCAGATACCGGGTGGAGTCGGCTTTCAGGCAGAAAGCACCACCAGCAGTTTAGTCTCTGTAGCCCCTGTTGTTATTTAGCCTAGCTTAGCCTGGTGGTTCAGTCTATGTGCTGTCTGTAGGAGTTGGCAAGACAGCACAAACAGATCTGGGACCAGGCTATGGTAGTCAAGTCTGTTTGTGCTGTAGCTAGCTCCTCTCTGTCTGCGTTTGTTCAACGTCATGACAAACATCAACGGCTCTTGACAGAGACAGAGAAGTTACAGCACCTACAGTACAACACAGCAGCAGGCTAAATGTGATGCCAGTTGCCTTTTTAGCATTAGCTCAGTCCTCCTCTCTTTCTTAGCAATAAAGACTCTCTTCAACCCACTGAACCCAGAGATCACTGAACGGATGACACCAAAGAATCCATGTGGGACATGCTGTCACTCTCATCTTTTTAGTCCAGGACTATAGGTTTAATCTGTGTCCGGGAAACCGGTTCTATGTGTACGTCATGTTTCAGTGTGACTGACTGTAGTAATGGGGGGGGGGGGCAGCCTACTGTAAATCAAGCAACACTAGGGATTGACAGTCTGTCTGTGTTGTGGATAATTCATCTGTCCCAGTCACACTGACACACGTCACAACACAGACTTCAGGAGCATTCCTGAGTTAATTAATAATAATTGATAGGTTATTACAGTGTGTACTAGTAAATACCTGGTCATCTCTGTACTGTAAAAATCAAGTATTACCATTTTCTCTTGTTCGTCTCAGGTTACAGTCAGACCCTCTCCCAGTCCTCCACCTCTGCTATGGAGGAACCCAGACAGGGGAACCACACCTCTCCCTTCACGGATGCGGCGGAGAACGTGGAGCGGTTGGAGCGAGAGTCCAGCGGGGAGATGGAGAGAGAGTCCAGCGGCCTCCCCCTGGAGCCTGGCTACGACCAGAGCCAGACCCTGCCTGCCACCACCACCACCACCCCTGCTGCTGACCCTCTGGCTCCTGTAGACTCAACCACCTTAGACCCACAATATGTCCCAGTGCACGGGGGTTCAGAATCAACTCCTGAAGACACATTGGAGGTAGAGGTAGCAGAGGAGGAGGAGGAGGAGGAGGAGGAGAGGGAGAGTCCCAGCCCTGAGGCTGACGCCTCCACCTCCAGACCAACCCTCCCAGAGGTGGGTGTCTTCCCCAGCCATGGGCCTCTCCAGCCGGACAACACCCATACAGAAAACCAGGAGGAGGGGGTGGAGGGAGAGGAAGAGGAGGCGGTGGTCCTTGGAGGACCTAAGAGTGACTCAGGAAGAGGGGGGAGAGGAGGAGAGATCTCTCCCCTGACCACAGTCCCCTTGGCATCTCTGGCGCCCAAGGTCGACTTCACGGAGGACTCCTGGGACCGTCTGGAGGACGAGGAGGTGTTTGCTGGGAAGGAGATCCAGGAGGAAGAGAGGCAGGAGAGGAGGCAGGAGGAGGAGGAGCAAGAGGTCAGGCACGGAGGAACAGAGCTGTTAACAGAGGCAGATCTCCTCCACGGTGCACACTTCTCACAGGAGATACAGCAGGTTCAGTAGTATGTCTAATCTCTACTGTAGTGGAGGTGGTTCAGTAGTATGTCTAATCTATAATGTAGTGGAGATGGTTCAGTAGTATGTCTAATCTCTAATGTAGTGGAGGTGGTTCAGTAGTATGTCTAATCTCTACTGTAGTGGAGGTGGTTCAGTAGTATGTCTAATCTATAATGTAGTGGAGATGGTTCAGTAGTATGTCTAATCTCTAATGTAGTGGAGATGGTTCAGTAGTATGTCTAATCTCTAATGTAGTGGAGGTGGTTCAGTAGTATGTCTAATCTCTAATGTAGTGGAGGTGGTTCAGTAGTATGCTAATCTCTACTGTAGTGGAGGTGGTTCAGTAGTATGTCTAATCTCTAATGTAGTGGAGGTGGTTCAGTAGTATGTCTAATCTCTACTGTAGTGGAGGTGGTTCAGTAGTATGTCTAATCTCTACTGTAGTGGAGGTGGTTCAGTAGTATGTCTAATCTCTAATGTAGTGGAGGTGGTTCAGTAGTATGTCTAATCTCTAATGTAGTGGAGGTGGTTCAGTAGTATGCTAATCTCTAATGTAGTGGAGGTGGTTCAGTAGTATGCTAATCTCTACTGTAGTGGAGGTGGTTCAGTAGTATGCTAATCTCTAATGTAGTGGAGGTGGTTCAGTAGTATGCTAATCTCTACTGTAGTGGAGGTGGTTCAGTAGTATGCTAATCTCTACTGTAGTGGAGGTGGTTCAGTAGTATGCTAATCTCTAATGTAGTGGAGGTGGTTCAGTAGTATGCTAATCTCTACTGTAGTGGAGGTGGTTCAGTAGTATGTCTAATCTCTAATGTAGTGGAGGTGGTTCAGTAGTATGTCTAATCTCTACTGTAGTGGAGGTGGTTCAGTAGTATGTCTAATCTCTACTGTAGTGGAGGTGGTTCAGTAGTATGCTAATCTCTACTGTAGTGGAGGTGGTTCAGTAGTATGCTAATCTCTAATGTAGTGGAGGTGGTTCAGTAGTATGTTTAATCTCTAATGTAGTAGAGGTGGTTCAGTAGTATGTCTAATCTCTAATGTAGTGGAGGTGGTTCAGTAGTATGTCTAATCTCTAATGTAGTGGAGGTGGTTCAGTATTATGTCTAATCTCTACTGTAGTGGAGGTGGTTCAGTAGTATGCTAATCTCTAATGTAGTGAAGGTGGTTCAGTAGTATGTCTAATCTCTAATGTAGTGGAGGTGGTTCAGTAGTATGTCTAATCTCTAATGTAGTGGAGGTGGTTCAGTAGTATGCTAGTCTCTAATGTAGTGGAGGTGGTTCAGTAGTATGTTTAATCTCTACTGTAGTGGAGGTGGTTCAGTAGTATGTTTAATCTCTACTGTAGTGGAGGTGGTTCAGTAGTATGTCTAGTGGAGGTGGTTCAGTAAACTATGATCATATGAGGAGTAGCCTTGCCAGGAGACTCTGGTTTGAACCCAATCGGTTTTACTATGGAACTGTGTATCACACCATATATTTTCAAATCAAATCATATCAAGTTTTATTTGCCACATGCGCCGAATACAACAGGTGTAGACATTACAGTGAAATGCTTACTTACAAGCCCTTAACCAACAATGCAGTTTTTTAAAGAAAAAAGTCAAATAAAAAAGTGTCAAGTAAAAAAATAAAAGCAAAGCAGTAAAATAAAATAACAGTAGGGAGGCTATATATACAGGGGGGTGCCGGTACAGAGTCAATGTGCGGGGGCACCGGCTAGTTGAGGTAATTGAGGTAATATGTACATGTGGGTAGAGTTAAAGTGACTATGCATAAATAATAAACAGAATAGCAGCAGCGTAAAAAGATGGGGTGGGGGGCAGTGCATATAGTCCGGGTAGCCATGATTAGCTGTTCAGGAATCTTATGGCTTGGGGGTAGAAGCTGTTGAGAAGCCTTTTGGACCTAGACTTCGTGCTCTGGTACCGCTTGCCATGCGGTAGCAGAGAGAACAGTTTATGACTAGGGTGGCTGGAGTCTTTGACAATTTATAGGGCCTTCCTCTGACACCACCTGGTATAGAGGTCCTGGATGGCAGGAAGCTTGACCACAGTGATGTACTGGGCCGTACGCACTACCCTCTGTAGTGCCTTGCGGTTGGAGGCCGAGCAGTTGCCATTCCAGGCGGTGATGCAACCTGTCAGGATGCTCTCGATGGTGCAGCTGTATAACTTTTTGAGGATCTGAGGACCCATGCCAAATCTTTTCAGTTTCCTGAGGGGGAATAGGCTTTGTCGTGCCCTCTTCACGACTGTCTTGGTGTGTTTGGACCATGATAGTTTGTTGGTGATGTGGACACCAAGGAACTTGAAGCTCTCAACCTGCTCCACTACAGCCCCGTCGATGAGAATGGGGGTGTGCTCATTCCTCTTTTTTTCCCTGTAGTCCACAATCATCTCCTTTGTCTTGATCACGTTGAGGGAGAGGTTGTTATCCTGGCACCACATGGCCAGGTCTCTGACCTCCTCCCTATAGGCTGTCTCATCGTTGTCGGTGATCAGGCCTACCACTGTTGTGTCGTCGGCAAACTTAATGATGGTGTTGGAGTTGTGCCTGGCCATGCAGTCATGGGTGAACAGGGAGTACAGGAGGGGGCTGAGCATGCACCCCTGAGGGGCCCCCGTGTTGAGGATCAGCGTGGCAGATGTGTTGTTACCTACCCTTACCACCTGGGGACGGCCCGTCAGGAAGTCCAGGATCCAGTTGCAGAGGGAGGTGTTTAGTCCCAGGATCCTTAGCTTAGTGATGAGCTTTGAGGGCACTATGGTGTTGAAAGCTGAGCTGTAGTCAATGAATAGCATTGTGAATGTTGACCTGCTTAAAAATCTTACTCACATCGTCTACAGAGAGCGTGATCGCATAGTCATCCGGAACAGCTGATGCTCTCATGCATGCTTCAGTGTTGCTTCCCTTGAAGTGAGCATAGAAGTAATTTAGCTCGTCTGGTAGGCTTGTGTCACTGGGCAGCTCGCGGCTGTGCTTCCCTTTGTAGTCTGTAATAGTTTTCAAGCCCTGCCACATCCGACGAGCGTCAGAGTCCTGTATTGACTCTTTGCCTGTTTGATGGTTCGTCGGAGGGCATAGCGGGATTTCTTATAAGCGTCCGGGTTAGAGTCCCGCTCCTTGAAAGCGGCAGCTCTACCCTTTAGCTCAGTGCGGATGTTGCCTGTAATCCATGGCTTCTGGTTGGGGTATGTACGTAAGGTCACTGTGGGGACGACGTCATCGATGCACTTATTGATGAAGCCAGTGACTGATGTGGTGTACTCCTCAATGCTATCTGAAGAATCCCGGAACATATTCCAGTCTGTGCTAGCAAAACAGTCCTGTAGCTTAGCATCTGCGTCATCTGACCACTTTTTTATTTGCCGAGTCACTGGTGCTTCCTGCTTTAGTTATTGCTTATAAGCAGGAATCAGGGGGATAGAATTATGGTCAGATTTGCCAAATGGAGGGAGAGGGAGAGCTTTGTACGTGTCTCTGTGTGTGGAGTAAAGGTGGTCTAGAGTTTTTTCCTCTGGTTGCACATTTAACATGCTGGTAGAAATTACAGTGAGGGAAAAAAGTATTTGATCCCCTGCTGATTTTGTACGTTTGCCCACTGACAAATAAATGATCAGTCTATAATTTTAATGGTAGGTTTATTTGAACAGTGAGAGACAGAATAACAACAAAATAATCCAGAAAAACGCATGTCAAAAATGTTATAAATTGATTTGCATTTTAATGAGGGAAATAAGTATTTGACCCCCTCTCAATCAGAAAGATTTCTGGCTCACAGGTGTCTTTTATACAGGTAATGAGCTGAGATTAGGAGCACACTCTCAAAGGGAGTGCTCCTAATCTCAGTTTGTTACCTGTATAAAAGACACCTGTCCACAGAAGCAATCAATCAATCAGATTCTAAACTCTCCACCATGGCCAAGACCAAAGAGCTCTCCAAGGATGTCAGGGACAAGATTGTAGACCTACACAAGGCTGGAATGGGCTACAAGACCATCGCCAAGCAGCTTGGTGAGAAGGTGACAACAGTTGGTGCGATTATTCGCAAATGGAAGAAACACAAAAGAACTGTCAATCTCCCTCGGCCTGGGGCTCCATGCAAGATCTCACCTCGTGGAGTTGCAATGATCATGAGAACGGTGAGGAATCAGCCCAGAACTACACGGGAGGATCTTGTCAATGATCTCAAGGCAGCTGGGACCATAGTCACCAAGAAAACAATTGGTAACACACTACGCCATGAAGGACTGAAATCCTGCAGCCCCCGCAAGGTCCCCCTGCTCAAGAAAGTACATATACAGGGCTGTCTGAAGTTTGCCAATGAACATCTGAATGATTCAGAGGAGAACTGGGTGAAAGTGTTGTGGTCAGATGAGACCTAAATCAAGCTCTTTGGCATCAAACCTCTGTGATTGCCAACAAGGGTTTTGCCACCAAGTACTAAGTCATGTTTTGCAGAGGGGTCAAATACTTATTTCCCTCATTAAAATGCAAATCAATTTATAACATTTTTTACATGCGTTTTTCTGGATCTTTTTTTTGTTATTCTGTCTCTCGCTGTTCAAATAAACCTACCATTTAAAATTATAGACTGATCATGTCTTTGTCAGTGGGCAAACGTACAAAATCAGCAGGGGATCAAATACTTTCTTCCCTCACTGTAGGTAGAACATGATTTAAGTTTCCCTGCATTCAAGTCCCCGGCCGCTAAGAGCGCTGCCTCTGGATGAGCGTTTACCAGTTTACTTACGGCCTTATAAAGCTCATTGAGTGCGGTCTTAGTGCCAGCATCGGTTTGTGGTGGTAGATAAGAGAGCTACGAAAAATATATTAATGAAAGGTTGTGATTGGTTTGAATGCCTCTTATTAACTCCCTATAACCTCCTCTCTTAATGTAACCACCAGGTGATCTGTGTGGACTGGAGCGATCTGGCTGGGAAGGGTTACGTCATCCTCGACATGTCAGACAACGTTGACTGTGTGAGTACCACAACGTGACTAACTACATCAACAAATATATTTTTTAGGACCATAATATTGCAGCAATGTATTGCTGATGTTTCTCAGAATCATTAGTTAGGGAATAGTTCTGATTTCATAAATCTATAATTGAATCAATATGGCACGATGGGATGCCATTAGATGGTAGCCTGGTTAAACCAGCCTGAACACTAGTGAAACTATAGTGAGTGTAGCGTTCAGTCTGTTTTAACCAGGCAACAGATCCAGACAACTCCATTGTTCTCCTTCACTGTGAGACAACCCAGAACCCAGGAGCCCTTTCTGTCCTCTGATAGTCGGTCCTTAATCGCAACATCCTCCTCACCCCACTCCTTGGTTGTCATGCCAACCGCTGCAGAGTCATCACAGTTACCCAGCAGGGAGGAAGACAGAAACCATCCGATCCACAGAACAACACGTTTTGGAAACAGCAGCTCCTACAAAGGAGCGTGATTCGTTCAACAACATACTCGGCAGGCAGATAGAACACTGATTTATTCAAAGTTGCATGCAATGACAACAACAGACAGCATGAGTCATCACCACCCAACCTTCTCTTTTTTCCACAGAATACCATTTTTATGTTAAACAGTTGCATATTTGTCTGTCTGTTTGTTTGTATACTCTATCCTCAGGCCCCAGATCTGTTTTTTTGTTTCAGCTAGCTCCTCTGTGTCATACAACTAACTACATAGGAGTTGGCTAAAGCACAAACCAAAACGATCTGACAACAACCAGGCTACCCTGGTGCCCGTTATTTTTTCACTGTGACCTCTGACCTCTCCTGTTGTTATGTTCAGGATGAGTTCCGTGTGGAGGGTGGAGACCGGCTCTTGGAGCTGCTAGAGACAGCCTTCTCTAGGAAGATGAACAGTCCTCAGGGCTCCTGGCTCATCTCTCTCTCTAAACCCACCAGACAGGACCACCAGCTGCTCATCACACTGGCCAGCGAACACGGTACCAGATACATCAGAGAGCTGGGGCCCACTTTCTCACTTCAGTCAAGCTCTCAAACCTGGGTTTCATAGAGATACTGTCAAATGTGGAATGTGTGATCCTGAGCCGAACTTGGTCAAATGATATGAAGATGTACATGTAGATGTCCCCCAACACTGTATTCTCAAGGGGTTGCTCACTTGTGTGCTATTTAGTAACATTTTTGTGTGATTTCTGACTGTCTTTTAGGAGTTATTGCCACCAAGGACATGCTGTCAATGTTAGGAGAAATCAGGAGAGGTCTACACGAGGTAAGATACTTCTGTTCCTGACTCTATGTAAGGTTGTAATTGGTCGGCCTGGTCTCAGTCCGTCGTGTAAACGGACTAAAAGCTAACTAATATAGCACATCTGGGACCAGGCTAGTAATTCATCTGTCTGAATGAAACTGAACTGTTCCGTGTGTCTGGTTCTGGTTCCAGATCGGTATCCGGAACTACAGCAGCGTTAGCACCTGTCACTCCAGACCCAGTCAGACGCGTAGTGACTACGGGAAGCTGTTCGTGGTCCTGGTGATCATAGGTTCTGTCTGTGTGGTCATCATCGCCTCTGGTCTCATCTATATCTGCTGGCAGAGACGCCTGCGTATGATGAAGACTAGGGTAAGTGTAGATTTACTATTGGTGCTGCAAAGCACTTTGTGACAATGTTGTCGTGAAAAGGGCTAAACTAATAACATTGGATTGATTGATCCATTGATTGTATTATTTGATAAATGGGATTGATTAATCGATTGATTGATCAATAGCTTTATGACTGTAAGGATGAATTATTCTACATTTCTGATGGTGTTTATAGTGGTTGTTACTCTTTCCACGCTCAATTATTTCAAACTTTGTGGTTTGATTATGTAAAAACTGTTCCTCTTTCCTCTCCTGTCCCTCCCAAGACTCGAGGCGAGGAATTCAATTTTGTGGAGAACGGCTGCCATGACAACCCTACCCTGGACATGACGAGTGATGGGGGGCAGCCGGAGATGCAGGAGAAGAAACATCACCACACCAACGGACTGACGGCTGGGTCTGGGGGGGAGGGAGGGAGCAGTGGCTGGCAGGTCAACAAACCTAGAGGGAAGGAAGAGGACACACACCTTTAGTAGAGAGAAGAAGAGTGGAGGAGGGAAAAAGGTAGCCTGGATCCAGATCTGTTTGTGCTGTCTTGCCAACTTCTATGGTCACTGTCACATTTGGCGTGGCAAGACAGCACAAACAGATCTGGGAGTCGGACTAGGCTAGAAAGAGAACTGACGATGAAGAAGCAAAACATCAGTGTTGTGAAACTTGTGAATGCATCGGCAAAAATATAAACGCAACATGTAAAGTGTTGGTCCCATGTTTCATGTGCTGAAATATAAGATCCCAGAAATGTTCCATATGCACAAGAAGCTTATGTCTTTCAAATGTTGTGCACAAATTTGTTGACATCCCTGTTAGTGAGAATTTCTCCTTTGCCAAGATAATCCATACACCTGACAGGTGTGGCATATCAAAAAGCTGATTAAACAGCATGATCATTACACCAGTGCACCTTGTGCTGGGGACAATAAAAGGCCACTCTAAAATGTTTTGTCACACAACACAATGCCACATATGTCTCAAGTTTTGAGGGAGCATGCAATTGGCATGCTGACTGCAGGAATGTCCACCAGAGCTGTTGCCAGAGAATTCTATATTAATTTCCCTACCATAAGCCGCCTCCAACGTCGTTTTGGAGAATTTGGCAGAACGTCCAACCGGCCTCACAACCGCAGACCATGTGCAACCACGCCAGCCCAGGACCTCCACAACCGGCTTCTTCACCTGCGGGATCATCTGAGACCAGCCACCCAGACAGCTGATGAAACTGAGGAGTATTTCTGTCTGTAATAAAGTCCTTTTGTGGGGAAAAACTAATTCTTATTGGATGGGCCTTGCTCCCCAGTGGGTGGGCCTTGCTCCCCAGTGGGTGGGCCTGGAAGAATAAATAAAATTGACTGATTTCCCTATATGAACTGTAACTCAGTAAAATCGTTGAAATTGTTGCATGTGGCGTTTATATTTTTGTTCAGTATAGTAATCAGAAGTCACTTAAACAACTTCTTTAAGCTACTTAGATGTTTTATCAGTTGACTATGATTATATGAAATGAAATGATCTGCTTTCCTTTTTTTGTCAACTAAAGCATGATTCACATTTATAACTTAACACTGTACATCTACAGGGCCTTTTCAGAATATTGAAACATTTATATTGAAGCGAATAGAGGCGGTATCCCTCTGTTACGAGTATGAATGTTCGTAGTTGAACTACTGAAGTTAGGATATTGTATTTATCTTAACATGTTGAATGCAGAGTTAAACGCTTTGTGCTAGCTATTTTTTATTATGTAAAGTTGGAATGGCTGCTCTGTATCTGGTCAGTTCACATTGATCTTAGTTCAAAGTCACACAATCATTTGGAAGCATCCATTATTCCCAGCCTCCTTACAATCAAATAACTAGCTTTGTTGCCTGATCAGATTGCTTTAGCAAACTCATCTCTGGCTGCTGTGGCATGATAGCAAACAAGGGCTAAAGCACAATCACATCTGGTAACCAGGCTGCAAAACAACAGAAGCTGGCAATATTTATGATGCTTCCCTTTGATAAAAAAAACACACCTACAAATATATATATATATATATATATATATATATATATATATATATATATATATATATATATATATACAGTCAAGTTTGGACACACCTACTCATTAAAGGCTTTTTCTTTATTTTGACTATTTTCTACATTGTAGAATAATAGTGAAGACATCAAAACTATGAAAGAACACATATGGAATCACGTAGTAACCAAAAAAGTGTTAAACAAATCAAAATATATTTTATATATTATATTCTTCAAAGTAGCCACCCTTTGCCTTGATGACAGCGTTGCACACTCTTGGCATTCTCTCAACCAGCTTCAACAGTCTTGAAGGAGTTCCCACATATGCTGAGCACTTGTTGGCTGCTTTTCCTTCACTCTGCGGTCCAACTCATCCCAAACCATATCAATTGGATTGAGGTCGAGTGATTGTGGAGGCCAGGTCATCTGATGCAGCACTCCATCACTCTCCTTTGTCAAATTGCCCTTACGCAGCCTGGAGGTGTGTTTTGGGTCATTGTCTTGTTGAAAAACAATTGATAGTCCCACTAAGCCCAAACCAGATGGGATGGCGAATCGCTGCAGAATGCTGTGGTAGCCATGCTGGTTAAGTGTGCCTTGAATTCTAAAGAAATCACAGACAGTGTCACCAGCAAAGCACCCCCACAGCATCACACCTCCTCCATGCTTTACGGTGGGAACCACACATGCGGAGCTCATCCGTTCACCTACTCTGCGTCTCACAAAGACACGGCGGTTGGAACCAAAAATCTCCAATTTGGACTCATCAGACCAAAGGACAGATATCCACCAGTCTAATGTCCATTGCTCGTGTTTCTTGGTCCAAGCAAGTCTCTTCTTATTATTGCTGTCCTTTAGTAGTGGTTTCTTTGCAGCAATTTGACCATGAAGGCCTGATTCACGCAGTCTCCTCTGAACAGTTGATGTTGAGATGTGTCTGTTACTTGAACTCTGTGATGCATTTATTTGGGCTGCAATTTCTGAGGTGCAGTTAACTCTAATGAACTTATTCTCTGCAGCAGAGGTAACTCTGGGTCTTCCTTTCCTGTGGCGGTCCTCATGAGAGCCAGTTTCATCATAGCGCTTGATGGTTTTTGCGACTGCACTTGAAGAAACTTTCAAAGTTCTTGAAATGTTCCGTATCGACTGACCTTCATGTCTCAAAGTAATGATGGACTGTGTTTTCTCTTTGCTTAAAATATATTTTGATTTGTTTAACACTTTTTTGGTTACTACATGATTCCATATGTGTTATTTCATAGATTTAATGTCTTCACTATTATTCTACAATGTAGAAAATAGTAAAAACAAAGAAAACCCCTTGAATGAGTAGGTGTGTCCAAACTTTTGACTGGTAGTGTATATATATCACACTGAATTAATTTATCATAGGGCTATTTACTGTAGAAGGCCTGTAAATATGAATGTAATTTGAAGTCATGCTGCTAGTATTTCTGCTGAGGCGCTGTAGCTAATGACATACTGTAAATTAAACGTCAACAATATATCTTCTCCGCCTGACAGTATTGCCACTGCTTCAAAATGGTGGGATATGTTTTTAGTCCACAGTCAACTAGAGCTCAGATCTTTTTGAACAATATCACCAAGCTGGCACACTTCTTTCATAGCCTACACTGTGCTTGGCCTAGAAGTATTTGAAACGCTTAAATACGTAATACAAGCTAAAACTGTGTTGTGGGGGGGGTGGGGGAAATCATCCAAAGAATAGTAAAGTCTTATATGGTAAGGATAGGCTACTAAACACAGGTGGCTTGTCGCACCTTAATTTGGGAGGACGGGCTCATAGTAATGGCTGGAACAGAAAAAAATGGAAAGGTATCGAACACATCAAACACCTGGTTTCCATGGGTTTGACACCATTCCATTGACTCCATTCCAGCCATTATTATGAGCCGTCCTCCCCTCAGTAGCCTCCTGTGGTGTTAAGTTAGTGCTGTCCCCTCCTGTTTTGTTTTATTTTGCACTAGACAAGTAGATAGCCACTATGTGCTCTTTAAAATCTGTTTGACCTCTCTAGGGTTGTGTTAATTAGGCACCAAATGGAAGAAAACTGACAATCAGGGAAGGACTGCCTGGACTTGTCCAATAACAAACGTTCGTAAAACATTTTTAAAGCGTTTTCCCATTGTGTTCCCTAATGAACACGACCCAGGAAAGTTCAGAGAGCAGGTCCTGATGTTCAGGATTCGTGGGTCTGAACTCTTTCTCTGTCATTATGGTCCTCTGTAGCTCAATTGGTAGAGCATTGGCGCTTGTAACGCCAGGGTAGTGGGTTCGATCCCCGGGACCACCCATACGTAAAAATGTATACACGCATGACTGTAAGTCGCTTTGGATAAAAGCGTCTGCTAAATGGCATATTATTCATGGAAAATCTAAATTGAAAGTGTTATATAGTCCTGGACTAGTCTTATTGGAAACCAGCCGTAGGTCTGTGCCTGGGCACTTCAATGTATTGTTCCTGCACTGTTGTCTCTATGACATGAGCTGCTCAGTGTTAAAATGTCAATGTTATTGATTAAATATAAAACTGTTCATTTAAATTGAAGTGTCACCAAGTTTCTTGTATGTTATTTGTATAATTATCCCCAGGCTCCATTGCTACCAGAGTGCGAGCCGGCTGGAGACCAGTTTAGAAGTATACTGCATCTTTGTTATTTTGATTTATAAATTAACATTATTTTGTGTGAAATGTTTTTTTTTACATTCATGTTAGTTTTCATTTTTCACTGTTTTGTTATGTATCATGTAATGTATAGAAAATAAACGTTTGGGAAACGCTGCTTTGGAAGGACTCATATATATACAGTTAGTGGGTAGGACTGCTTTCAATGTGATATTGAAAAATGATACAATAGCGCCATCTAGTGTATACTATACCAATAACCTCCCCATTCTGGAGGTACTGTATATGTGGTTGAATCTGAATATTCTAGACATATTGATGATGGCCAGTTGACTGGCCCAATAGATCATAAGAAAACAACGTCAACAAGGTTTTGTTGGCTGACTTTATTAGTTTGACACACAAACACTAATGTGTGGCAGGTAGCTTAGTGGGTAAGAGCGTTGTGCCAGTAACCAAAAGGTCACTGGTTCTAATCCCCGAGCCGACTAGGTGAAAAATCTGTCGATGTGCCCTTAAGCAAGGCACTTAACCCTAATTGCTCCTGTAAGTCGCTCTGGATAAGAGCGTCTGCTAAATGACTGAAATGTGACGGCACTAAAATGTGCCATCAATGCATTACAAACAGTAGATTAATTCAGAATACTTTTTGCATTCGTGTGCAGGCAGTTTCGTTCTGTTTCCAGACGTTACAGTCATGTTGTCATAATGGCAGTAAGAATGCACATATTTTCCCATTAATAAAACAATATCTTTACATCCAACATATTTCAACAAACATTTTTTTTTAAACAACACACATTTCTCAAGACTCCAAACCATGTAAAAAAAGGTAACATTCTTAGAATCATCCAAAAGCAACAACTTGCATCAACTGCAATAACCACTGATCCACAGTTTTTACAGCTACAAATCAGAGCTCAAATACAAATGCAGTTTATTTTACAGTTTTAAAAAGGTATATAGACTATAATCAATTATTAATCTAATCAAAGTAATAATTTTGCACAAATATACCATCTAGACCTGTGAAGACAGGAGAATAGTTGTAGATGAGAGCCCTCTCCTCCTCACTGGCTGAAGAGAACTTGTGATGATTCTTCATGGCTGTGAACAGGAGGATGAAGAGAACAGAAGATGTTAGCTAACGGTGTTAAATGCTACTCCCAGATCTACTACTACACTACAGGCCTACTACTACACTGAACATAAATATAAAAAAAAACTTTTAACAAGGCACACTTCTGCAGCAGAGGTGCACTCTGGGTCTTCCATTCCTGAGAGCCAGTTTCATCATAGCGCTTGATGGTTTTTGCAACTGCACTTGAAGAAACTTTCAAAGTTCTTGAAATTTTCCGTATTGACTGACCTTAATGTCTTAAAGTAATGATGGACTGTCGTTTCTCTTTGCTTATTTGAGCTGTTCTTGCCATAATATGGACTTGGTCCTTTACCAAATAGGGCTATCTTCTGTATACCATCCATACCTTGTCACAACACAACTGATTGGCTCAAACGGCTCCAAACTTTTACAGATGCACAATTGAGAGCATCCTGTCGGGCTGTATCACCGCCTGGTACGGCAACTGCACTGCCCGCAACCGCAGGGCTCTCCAGAGGGTGGTGCGGTCTGCCGAACGCATTACCGGGGGCAAACTACCCGCCCTCCAAGACACATACAGCACCCGATGTCACAGGAAGGCCAAAAAGATCATCAAGGACATCAACCACCCAAGCCACTGCCTGTTCACCCTGCTATCATCCAGAAGGCGAGGTCAGTAGAGGTGCATCAAAGCTGAGACAGAGAGACTGAAAAACAACTTCAATCTCAAGGCCATCAGACTGTTAAATAGCCATCACTAGCACATTAGAGGCTGCTGCTGCCTATTGAAATCACTGGCCACTTTAAGAAATGGAACACTAGTCACTTTAATAATGTTTATATATCTTGCACTACTCATCTCATATGTATATACTGCATTCTATTCTATAATATTCTACTGTATCTTAGTCCATGCCGCTCTGTCATTGCTTGTCCATATATGTATATATTATTAAATCCCATTCCTTCCTAGTTTTGTGTGTTTTAGGTATATGTTGTGAAATTGTTAGATATTACTTGTTAGATATTACTGCACTGTCGGAGCTAGAAGCACAAGCATTTCGCTACACCTGCTATAACATCTGCTAAACACGTGTATGTGACAAATAAAATTGGATGGAAAGACATTCCACAAATTAACTTTTAACAAGGCACACCTGTTAATTGAAATGCATTCCAGGTGACTACCTCATGAAGCTGGTTGAGAGTGTGAAAAGCTGTCATCAAGGCAAAGGGTGGCTATTTTGAAGAATCTCAAATATATTTTGATTTGTTTAACACTTTTTTGGTTACTACATGATTCCATATGTGTTATTTCACAGTTTTGATGTCTTCCCTATTATTCTACAATGTAGAAAATAGTAAAAAAGAAAAAGAAAAACCCTGGAATGAGTAGGTGTCCAAACTTTTGACTGGTATATATATATATATATATATATATATATAAACACACACACACACACACACACACACACACACACACACACTGATCAAAAATATCCAGCGTGCCAGTGGCCATCGAAGGTGAACATTTAACCACTGAAGTTGGTTACGATGCCAAACTCAAGACCTTGGACGATGAGCATGCAAATGAGCTTCCCTGAGACGGTTTCTGACAGTTGGTGCAGAAATTATTTGGTTGTGTAAATACCGGAGGCGTGGTTACACACGGTCTGCGGTTGTGAGGCCGGTTGGACGTACTGCCAAATTCTCTAAAACAAGAATGGTAGAAAAATTAACATCCAATTCTCTGGCAACAGCTCTGGTGGACATTCCTACAGTCAGCATGCCAATTACACGCTCCCTCAAAACTTGCGACATCTGTGGCATTGTGTTGTGTAACAAAACTGCACATTTTAGAGTGGCCTTTTATTGTCGCCAGCACAAGACGCACCTGTGTAAATATCATGCTGTTTAATCAGCTTCTTGATAAGCCACACCTGTCAGGTGGATGGATTATCTTGGCAAAGGAGAAATGCTCACAGGGATATAAAAACAAATTTGTGCACAACATTTGAGAGAAATAAGCTTTGTGCATATGGACAATTTCTGGGATCTTTTATTTCCGCTCATGAGACATGGGACCAACACTTTACATGTTGCGTTTCTATGTTTGTTCAGTGTGTTGTAGCCAACCATACTCTTCACAGTAATAGAAGGGAGGTGGTTAAACTAACCAGGCTAGCGTCATGTACAGTACATTCGGAAAGTATTCAGAGTACCAATGCCACCATGTTTCAATATGCTTTGTGTTGTAGTCAGGACAGTAAAATATATAAATGTATATAGTTAAGCAAACTTTACTATGCATGTTGTTAACCAGCACATCAAGTACATGAAGACTTTAAGTAACAATTGGTTTCCGTTTATTCAGACCCCTTGACCTTTTCCACATTTTGTTACGTTACATCCTTTTTCTAAAATGAATTAAATAAATACACAATTCTCAATCTACACACAATACCCCATAATGAGAAAGTGAAAACAGGTGAAGAAATGTTTGTGAATTTATACAAAATAAAAAACAGAAATACCTTATTTATATAAGTATTCAGACCTTTTGCTATGAGACTCAAAATTGAGCTCAGGTGCATCCGGTTTCCATTGATCATCCTTGAGATGTGTCTACAACTTGATTGGAGTCCACCTGTGGTAAATTCAATTGATTGGACATGATTTGGAAAGGCAAACACCTGTCTATATAAGGTCCCACAGTTGACAGTGCATGTCAGAGCAAAAACCAAGCCATGAGGTCGAAGGAATTGTCCGTAGAGCTTTGAGACAGGATTGTGTCGAGGCACAGATCTAGGGAAGGGTACCAAAAAAAATTCTGCAGCATTGAAGGTCCCAAAGAATACAGTGAGGGAAAAAAAGTATTTGATCCCCTGCTGATTTTGTACGTTTGCCCACTGACAAAGAAATTATCAGTATATAATTTTAATGGTAGGTTTATTTGAACAGTGAGAGACAGAATAACAACAAAAAAATCCAGAAAAACGCATGTCAAAAATGTTATAAATTGATTTGCATTTTAATGAGGGAAATAAGTATTTGACCCCCTCTCAATCAGAAAAGTTTCTGGCTCCCAGGTGTCTTTTATACAGGTAACGAGCTGAGATTAGGAGGATGTCAGGGACAAGATTGTAGACCTACACAAGGCTGGAATGGGCTACAAGACCATCGGCAAGCAGCTTGGTGAGAAGGTGACAACAGTTGGTGCGATTATTCGCAAATGGAAGAAACACAAAAGTACTGTCAATCTCCCTCGGCCTGGGGCTCCATGCAAGATCTCACCTCGTGGAGTTGCAATGATCATGAGAACGGTGAGGAATCAGCCCAGAACTACACGGGAGGATCTTGTCAATGATCTCAAGGCAGCTGGGACCATAGTCACCAAGAAAACAATTGGTAACACACTACGCCGTGAAGGACTGAAATCCTGCAGCGCCCGCAGGGTCCCCCTGCTCAAGAAAGCACATACACATGCCCGTCTGAAGTTTGCCAATGAACATCTCAATGATTAAGAGGAGAACTGGGTGAAAGTGTTGTGGTCAGATGAGACCAAAATCGAGCTCTTTGGCATCAACTCAACTCGCCGTGTTTGGAGGAGGAGGAATGCTGCCTATGACCCCAAGAACACCATCCCCACCGTCAAACATGGAGGTGGAAACATTATGCTTTGGGGGTGTTTTTCTGCTAAGGGGACAGGATAACTTCACCGCATCAAAGGGACGATAGACGTGGCCATGTACCGTCAAATCTTGGGTGAGAACCTCCTTCCCTCAGCCAGGGCATTGAAAATGGGTCGTGGATGGGTATTCCAGCATGACAATGGCCCAAAACACACGGCCAAGGCAACAAAGGAGTGGCTCAAGAAAAAGCACATTAAGGTCCTGGAGTGGCCTAGCCAGTCTCCAGACCTTAATCCCATAGAAAATCTGTGGAGGGAGCTGAAGGTTCGAGTTGCCAAACGTCAGCCTCAAAACCTTAATGACTTGGAGAAGATCTGCAAAGAGGAGTGGGACAAAATCCCTCCTGAGATATGTGCAAACCTGGTGGCCAACTACAAGAAACGTCTGACCTCTGTGATTGCCAACAAGGGTTTTGCCACCAAGTACTAAGTCATGTATTGCTGAGGGGTCAAATACTTATTTCCCTCATTAAAATGCTAATCAATTTATAACATTTTTGACATGCGTTTTTTCTGGATTTTTTTGTTGTTATTCTGTCTCTCACTGTTCAAATAACCCTACCATTAAAATGATAGACTGATCATTTCTTTGTCAGTGGGCAAACGTACAAAATCAGCAGGGGATCAAATACTTTTTTCCCCTCACTGTACATTGGCCTCCATCATTCTTAAATGGAAGAAGCTTGGAATCACCAAGACTCTTCCTAGAGCTGGCCGCCCGGCCAAACTGAGCAATTGGAGAAGGGCCTAGTCACACTCAGCTGATATCAGCTGACAACCATCTCTGCAGCACTCCACCAATCAGGCCTTTATGGTAGAGTGGCCAGATGGAAGCCACTCCTCAGTAAAAGGCACATGACTGCCCGCTTGGAGTTTGCCAAAAGGCACCTAAAGACTCTCAGACCATGAGAAACCAGATTCTCACGGTCTGATGAAACCAAGATTGAACTCTTTGGCCAGAATGCCAAGTGTCACGTCTGGAGGAAACCTGGCACCGTTCATCACCTGGCAAATACCATCCTTACGGTGAAGCATGGTGGTAGCAGCATCATGCTGTGGGGATGTTTTTCAGCTGCAGGGACTGGGAGACTTCAGACTGAGGCGAAGGTTCACCTTCCAACAGGACAATGACCCTAAGCACACAGCCAAGACAACGCACGAGTGGCTTCGGGACAAGTGTCTGACTGTCCTCGAGGGGCCCAACCAGAGCCCGGACTTGAACCCGATCGAACATCTCTAAAAATAGATGTGCAGCGAAGCTCCCCATCCAACCTGACAGAGCTTGAGAGGATCTGCAGAGAATAATGGGAGAAACTCTACAAATACAGGTGTGCCAAGCTTGTAGCGTCATACCCAAGAAGACTTGAGGCTGTAATCGCTACTTCAACAAAGTACTGAGTAAAGGGTCTGAATACTTATATATATATATATTGGGGTATTGTGTGTAGATTGATGAGGGAAAAAAAACAATTTAGTCAATTTTTTTAATAAGGCTGTAACGTAACAAAATGTGAAAAAAGTCAAGGGGTCTGAATACTTTCCGAATGCACTGTATAAATGAAGGGCTAGTGTAATGTAGGGTTAACATACCATTTTGTTTAACTGACACAATGTATGACTGTAGGGTGACGGGTCATCTACAGGTCAACGGTCCAACACAGCTACAGTCCAATAACTCTACAGTCACTCACCAGGCCAGCGTTGCTCTTCACTGATTTGCCTGCTTAAAGAAAAGTGGACTAAAATAAACTCACCCTCTGAGACAAAGAAGTGTGCCGTGTAGAAGGATGCTCTGACGGAGGCAGCAGAGTGGACCATGCCTGGCTTGTCTACCCACTCAAAGGGACTCTTCTCAGGGTGCCACTGGACAGCATAGAACGGATAGCGGTTCGCTACAACAAGAAAACAGACATGAGAACATACACATACACATTATACATACAGTGGGGAGAACAAGTATTTGATACACTGCTGATTTTGCAGGTTTTCCTACTTACAAAGCATGTAGAGGTCTGTAATTTTTATCATAAGTATACTTCAACTGTGAGAGACGGAATCTAAAACCAAAATCCAGAAAATCACATTGTATGATTTTTAAGTAATTAATTTGCATTTTATTGCATGACATAAGTATTTGATCACCTACCAACCAGTAAGAATTCCGGCTCTCACAGACCTGTTAGTTTTTCTTTAAGAAGCCCTCCTGTTCTCCACTCATTACCTGTATTAACTGCACCTGTTTGAACTCGTTACCTGCATAAAAGACACCTGTCCATACACTCAATCAAACAGACTCCAACCTCTCCACGATGGCCAAGACCAGAGAGCTGTGTAAGGACATCAGGGATAACATTGTAGACCTGCACAAGGCTGGGATGGGCTACAGGACAATAGGCAAGCAGCTTGGTGAGAAGGCAACAACTGTTGGCGCAATTGTTAGAAAATGGAAGAAGTTCAAGATGACGGCCAATCACCCTCGGTCTGGGGCTCCATGCAAGATCTCACCTCGTGGGGCATCAATGATCATGAGGAAGGTGAGGGATCAGCCCAGAACTACACGGCAGGACCTGGTCAATGACCTGAAGAGAGCTGGGACCACAGTCTCAAAGAAAACCATTAGTAACACACTATGCCGTCATGGATTAAAATCCTGCAGCGCACGCAATGTCCCCCTGCTCAAGCCAGCCCATGTCCAGGCCCGTCTGAAGTTTGCCAACGACCATCTGGATGATCCAGAGGAGGAATGGGAGAAGGTCATGTGGTCTGATGAGACAAAATTAGAGCTTTTTGGTCTAAACTCCACTCGCCGTGTTTGGAGGAAGAAGAAGAATGAGTACAACCCCAAGAACACCATCCCAACCGTGAAGCATGGAGGTGGAAACATCATTATTTGGGGATGCTTTTCTGCAAAGGGGACAGGACGACTGCACCGTATTGAGGGGAGGATGGATGGGGCCATGTATCGCGAGATCTTGGCCAACAACCTCCTTCCCTCAGTAAGAGCATTGAAGATGGGTCGTGGCTGGGTCTTCCAGCATGACAACGACGCGAAACACACAGCCAGGGCAACTAAGGAGTGGCTCCGTAAGAAGCATCTCAAGGTCCTGGAGTGGCCTAGCCAGTCTCCAGACCTGAACCCAATAGAACATCTTTGGAGAGAGCTGAAAGTCCGTATTGCCCAGCGACAGCCCCGAAACCTGAAGGATCTGTATGGAGGAGTGGCCCAAAATCCCTGCTGCAGTGTGTGCAAACCTGGTCAAGACCTACAGGAAACGTATGATCTCTGTAATTTTAAACAAAGGTTTCTGTACCAAATATTAAGTTCAATTTTTCTGATGTATCAAATACTTATGTCATGCAATAAAATGCAAATTAATTACATAAAAATCATACAATGTGATTTTCTGGATTTTTGTTTTAGATTCCGTCTCTCACAGTTGAAGTGTACCTATGATAAAAATTACAGACCTCTACATGCTTTGTAAGTAGGAAAACCTGCAAAATCGGCAGTGTATCAAATACTTGTTCTCCCCACTGTATATATATATATATATACACACACTAGAACAACTCTAGGGCCCCGGTTACTGTATAAGTCATTAGACCGCAGAGAACAGATAGGGATTCACTACAAGAGAGGAAACGAGAGAAAATAAAAACTCCAGTTACAGTGTGGCTGACTAGGACCTGGGAGTCTTGGACCTGGGAGTCTAGGACCTGGGAGTCTAGGACCTGGGAGTCTAGGACCTGGGAGTCTAGGACCTGGGAGTCTAGGACCTGGGAGTCTTGTGCACATGACCTCGACTGATTCTCAATACACTGAAGTGAAAGCATTTTAAAAACATCACCCATGAGTTGAATACATGTGAATCAATATACACTGCTTGTGAAGGATTGCGCACGGGCACACACACACACACACACACACACACACACACACACACAGGGATCCCATGGTTACATCATGTTTACCTACAGTAAACAGTGTGTTCAAATACAGTACCAAGACTGGGATAACCAAGACCAGCTGAACAGATATCAGCTGGGTGTGACTAGGCCTACCACTTGACAGACACATGAACCTTGTGACTAAAGTGTCTCTAGCCATGTTCAGAAGCTGTGAAGTACCTTCCATGGTAGATATGAACTCTCTCCTGCCGTCTGTGTTGGTGGTCAGAACCTTGTAGAAACTTTTCAGTTTGGCATTCCGGCTGTAGTTCTGGTGACATGAATCATTACATTTACATTTAGTTATTTTGGAATGTTCCGGAATTCAAAAAAGGTTACATTGTTGCTGAGAAATACGTTTTTTTTTTTTGCTCTAGTCTAGGGAACAGGATAACTGAAGTGTCTAAAAAGGGAATAGAACAAGACATATTCTGGTAACTCTGACGCAGACATTCAAACAAGTCTTCAGATAGCCTCGGAACGAGACTGCTTGAGGAGGTATTACACATCCAGCCCAGTGGTTTGACAAATTGAATAATTCACATATAGATTGCTTGTAGAAAAGAGAAGGAAGGAAGCGCTGTTAGGGTACACAATAGTAGGGCTTCTGTAGATCGCTGCTCTTTGGAAAAACGGGTTCATTGGTCATCAAAAAACAAAGAGGCCAAAGGCACTCTTCATGGAATTAAAATGCCTTTATTTGTATGGCATGTTGAATGGAACAAAGATTTTAGAACTGATGCGTTTTGGCAGCATGTGTACACCATGACGAATACCATGCTGCCGAAACGCGTCGGTTTTTAAATCCATAAAAATAAAAAGGCATTTTAATTATATAGAATATTGCTCGTTCAAACACTTTCTGGTCACTTCTGTACTCTTTCCTTCCCTAAAACAAGTCTATCCTTCCCTAAAACAAGTCTATCCGTCCTAAAACAAGTATATCCTTCCCTAAAACAAGTCTATCCGTCCTAAAACAAGTCTATGGGGCGGCGCACAATTGGCCCAGCGTCGTCCAGGGTAGGGGAGGGAATGGCCGGCAGGGATGTAGCTCAGTTGGTAGAGCATGGCGTTTGCAACGCCAGGGTTGTGGGTTCGATTCCCACGGGGGGCCAGTATTAAAAAAAGAAAAATAATGTGTGCACTCACTAACTGTAAGTCGCTCTGGATAAGAGCATCTGCTAAATGACTAAAATGTAAATGTAAAATGTATCCTTCCTAACACAAGTCTATCCGTCCTCAAACAAGTCTATCCGTCCTCAAACAAGTCTATCCGTCCTCAAACAAGTCTATCCGTCCTCAAACAAGTCTATCCGTCCTAACACAAGTCAGCCAGCAGTCAGACAGTACCATAGACGTGTGTGTGTTTGTTGACATCATCAGTCAGCACCTGTAACGATAGACTCCAGCTGTGGAAATTGGAGGTGATGTTGTCTTTGGACAGAGACTGTAGCAGGCCACTGGGGAAGGCCTTGAACAGACGGCTGTTCTGTAAAGCTGTGGTAAACAAAGACAACGGAAATATTAAAGCTGCAATCCTTAGTTGCCGCATACATTTTTGGACTTGTAAATTAATGATATATACCCATTGATTCTTGAAAAATATAACTTATAAATGCCTTTCGTACCCAATCAGAACCTAAAATATACGACTTTTTTTGTTCTAACGTTTATAAACAATGTAAATGAACACTGTATAGCCTCAACACATGGTAAATCTATAATATATCATGGATGGTCAGTCCTTGCATCCATAGCTCAGTCTATGAATTTGAGAGTGGTTACATTTCTCCAGGCCCATCCCTCTGCTTTTTACCAAAACAGTGGTGGGGTGTCCGCTTTGTTATTATGTCAACTGCAGATTCTAGCTTTAAAAAGGTCAAAAATGGATTGTCCAGATCAATGTTCAGTTTCTTGTGTTCAAGATGACTTTTTTTCTATTATTTAGGCAAGCAATGGAAAACAATGTTTTTCTTTCTATTTGCTGCCCAATGAACACGACCCTGTACTCCTATGAGGGAAAACCTGGTCTGTGCAGTTAACAGGCCCAATATCAATATTCACACACAAACGTAGGCATTTACTCATAAAGTCTGCAGAAACACGGTGTTGTCTCTGACCTGGGGTGAATGTGAGAGGCAGGGCCACAGCCTTGGTGTCTGTTAGAGTCAGAAGGTTCTTGTTGCTGGTCAGTACTGTCATCTGCTGGAAGCCCTGGCACGTGCCCCAAATAGGGAAGTAATCAGACGCGTCGTTGGCCTGCATGGGGAGAGGAAGACATCAACAAAACATGAACCAACCGGGACGCTGCCCAACCGGGGCGCTGCCCAACCAACCGGGGAGCTGCCCAACCAACCGGGGCGCTGCCCAACCAACCGGGGAGCTGCCCAACCAACCGGGGAGCTGCCCAACCGGAGCGCTGCCCAACCGGAGCGCTGCCCAACCGGGGCGCTGCCCAACCAACCGGGGCGCTGCCCAACCAACCGGGGCGCTGCCCAACCGGGGCGCTGCCCAACCAACCAGGGCGCTGCCCAACCAACCGGGGCGCTGCCCAACCAACCGGGGCGATGCCCAACCAACCGGGGCGCTGCCCAACCAACCGGGGAACTGCCCAACCGGGGCGCTGCCCAACAGGTGTTGCTCAACAGGTGGAAGCAATACATAACCAATACATAACCTCCCGAGTGGCGCAGTGGTCTAAGGCACTGCATCACAGTGCTAGCTGTGCCACTAGAGATCCTGGTTCTAGATCCTGTCGTAGCCGGCCGCGACCGGGAGACCCATGGGGCGGCGCACAATTGTCCCAGCGTCGTCCAGGGTAGGGGAGGGAATGGCCGGCAGGGATGTAGCTCAGTTGGTAGAGCATGGCGTTTGCAACGCCAGGGTTGTGGGTTCGATTCCCACGGGGGGCCAGTATGAAAAATAAAAAATTATGCATGCACTCACTAGCTGCATACATCTGTAGATTCGTTGTAAGTCGCTCTGGATAAGAGCGTCTGCTAAATGACTAAAATGTCAAATGTAGATCCATCGTCAATGAGGGATAAAAAACCTAATTGCATTTTGGTGGGTATGGAATTTATACATTGATTATATTATGTACCTTGATAGCCAGATCATAGAAGATCTTTGATAGTCGACTGAACTGGGACGTCTGCAGGTCTACATCCCCTCCTGGTAGCAGCAACCTAAAACAAGAATCAATCAGCCAGCAAATCAAATCAAGCAATCAAAATCAAATCAGAATTATTAATAATAGCCTACAGTCCCTCGCATTTTAATTATTTGATGAAGGCATCTCTTCACGCTAACACAATAAGTGAACAATAATTTCACTCACCCATTTATTGAGTTAAATATCTTCTCATATTCTTCATCTGTTCGGTTTATTCTTATGGGAACAACTCTTGCTCCAGCGCTCTCCAGGTACTTTACATAGGAAGCAGCGATGTAGGAGGATCCCTGAGCATGAGGGTCTCCCACTATGTTCTCTTGAGCCAGGACCCCTGAAATAACAATACACTTTACATTACACTTTCCATTACAATACAACAAAAACAACAAGACTAGCGTCATGTCTAGGGGGTGTACTTGCACATCAAGCTGCCTCACGCTACAGAAACAGGAGATAGGCTCCTGCCCGGTTTTGGCTTGGACATGACTTACAACAACACATTACATTACATTAAAAGTCCCTTTTCCTTTGAAAAACAACAAAACGGCAACAACCCCATCCACTTGGTTTGCTTTAAAGCTGAGGGATGGGGTTAAAGGTTACTGTGAAGACAGGTGTGGTTAATAGGTACAGCCGTCATCATCTCACAGGTTCGTTGTTCTTCTTAACTCTCCTCTCTCTCAGTCTACGGGCGATTTTAAGAGACTGTTTTACCGCTTAGCCTATATTCCTGAGGCATTTCTAAACAACCTCATTTTTAAAAAGGCGAAATATTGAGTAGCCTGGCTATAACGCTGCAATGGCTACATGAGGATTTATGTTGATCAATGAAAAACATGAAATATAAAATATACTTTTTTATAACTCTATACAATCAAGATGACATTCTGAAGTGAGAGTTTCTCTTTTTTTCACTTCCTAGAGAATGGGCCATTTCATGCCGGAATTGGTAAGCTCCAATAATGGTCCCAGAACATTCTAGAATAACACAGAAGAATACATTAACAGCAGCAGCAGCATATAAAGAACTTTCCAGATACACTCACACATACAAATTCACCCTATAGACTGGTTCGGAAGGGCTTACCAATGATGGGTCTGTAATTTAGATGGTCACTACAAGCCACAGGCAGAGGCACACCGCAAAGGCAAGCGGCCAGCACCGCAAGAACCGCAACCGGAGAACTCATTCACCGCGGGTAGCCTACCACACCAACATAAAATAAAAATGCTAAAATTCGCTTGTTCTCCTGCTTAAATGATCAGCAGCGCGGTACGTGATGATGGTATCGGTGAGGAGGATGTAGCCTACTGCAGTTGACCAAGAAAATGTTTTACAAGAGGCTGATGTATCACACCGGAGAAAGCACCGAGCGAGCGAAACAGCGCCCCCTCTGTCTGTGTATGTATAGCCCACCTATCTGATGCTGTCTGGTCAAAAATAGTATGATATTGTTGCCGCCCATAGCATTGCATGCAAGGGAAGCCACAGAGCTGTTGGCCTCCCTTGATTAAAACAATATACAATAATAGCCAATCAGCATTGAGCTAAACTGAGCGAGCTCAACTGTGAATGGTCCTGGCACACCCAAAAAAAAAATTGTCAAGGGAAGCCAGTTTGGATTTGGCTTCACACCAAATCAACCCAAACGTCATTGACAGAAGAAAACTTGAATTGTTGCATCTCGTTGTGTTGTCCTCTGATGACTAGCCAGCTAGCTAAAATTGGCCCATTCCTAAATTAGCCATGGACGGAGATAGGGATTTGGACTTGTGGTTTTACTTAATTTTTCCGTACTGGCCTATGATTATAATGGTGAATCGGATCCAACCATAAATTCATACATTGTGCCTATGGCCTGAGAGGATGGAACAATGCAATTATCACAACACATAGGTTGTAATATGTTTTTTCCCCCCCCTGCCTTGGCTTCCCCAGTGATTTTACCCACGCACCACTATTTCCATAAATAACATCACAGGAAGGGGAAATTGCATGTTCAATGAACTTGCGACCTCCCAAATCTGATACAATCTGGAACGCACCCATTGTGGTTTTGCATGGCGCTTTTGCGTTGACTGTGTCTGTTAATCGGGGTCGACCTGAGTTAGGAACTATAACAAATTATTAAAATCGCCATTCATTAATTCAACATTATTGACATTTGTACTCAAATTATTAAAATCGCCATTCATTAATTCAACATTATTGACATTTGCACTCTTATGGCGGGAAAATCACAAAAACTCTGTTATGCACATACGCTGTATAAGCCTTAAACCTGTAAATTCCCCACTGTCTGTTTCTGTCATGTAAGAAGCTAGTGTTTTTTCACACTCGTCTTTGTTTAACTTAGTCACGCGGCCGTCCATCCTGTTATTTTGGTATCTTTCAAGGGCACAGCTGTGTGGAGATATGAAGAGAACAGAGGCTGGCTTGAGCAGCAGCAGCTCAGATAGTAACAAAACTGTTTGTAGTACGGCTGAGGAACAAGAGAACCTGTGTTGTGTTTAATTGCGTTGTTTGCTCTATAACCTGTTAGTTCATATGCCTTGCCACCGTGATATATACAGTGCATTCGGAAAGTATTCACCCCCCCCCCTCCTCATCAAGCCACACACAATACCCCATAATGACAAAGCAAAAACAGGTTTTTAGAAATGTTTGCAAATGTATTACAAATAAACTGAAATATATCACATTTACATAAGTATTCAGACCCTTTACTCAGCACTTTGTTGAAGCACCGTTGGCAGCGATTACAGCCTCGAGTCTTCTTCAGTATGACACTACAAGTTTGGCACACCTGTATTTCGGGAGTTTTGGGGAGTTCGATCGGGTTCAAGTCCGGGCTCTGGCTTGGCCACTCAAGGACATTCAGAGACTTGTCCCGAAGCCACTCCTGAGTTGTCTTGGCTGTGTGCTTAGGGTTGTTGTCCTGTTGGAAGGTGAAACTTCGCCCCAGTCTGAGGTCCAGGGGGCTCTGGAGCAGGTTTTCATCAAGGATCTCTCTGTACTTATCTCCATTCATCTTTCCCTCAATCCTGACTAGTCTCCCAGTCCCTGCCACGGAAAAACATCTCCACAGCATAATGCTGCCACCACCACGTTTCACCGTAGGGATGGTGCCAGGTTTCCTCCAGACGTGTTGCTTGGCATTCAGGCCAAATAGTTCAATCTTGGTTTCATCAGACCAGAAAATCTTGTTTCTCATGGTCTGAGAGTCTTTAGGTGCCTTTTGGCAAACTCCAAGCGGGCTGTCATGTGCCTTTTACTGAGGAGTGGCTTCCATCTGGCCACTCTACCATAAAGGCCTGATGGGTGGAGCGCTGCAGAGATGGTTGTCCTTCTGGAAGGTTCTCCCATCTCCACAGAGGAACTCTGGAGCTCTGTCAGTGACTATCGGGTTCTTGGTCACCTCCCTGACCAAGGTCCTTCTCCACAATTGCTCCGTTTGGCTGGGCGGCCAGCTCTAGGAAGAGTCTTGGTGATTCCACACTTCTTCCATTTGAGAATGTTGGAGGCCACTGTGTTCTTGGGGACCTTCAATGCTGCAGAAATGTTTTAGGTACCCTTCCCCAGATCTGTGCCTCGACACAATCCTGTCTCAGAGCTCTACGGACAATTCCTTCGACCTCATGGCTTGGTTTTTGCTCTGACATGCACTGTCAACTGTGGGACCTTTATATAGACAGGTGTGTTCCTTTCCAAGGCTGTAATGTAACAAAATGTGGAAAAAGTCAAGGGGTCTGAATACTTTCCGAATGCACTGTAGGCCTAAGGTCGAGACAATAAGAAGACACAGTGGCAGAATAAATTCAAGAAGACACAGTGGCAGAATAAATTCAATCACACCTTTGTTTCATCACAAAACCGGAGAGCAACATCTGTCCGGTGGAGTCCACAAAGCATTTTGCATGTAACAAACAGTTACATGACCTACAACATGGTCAATCAAGTTAATGTTTCAGACATTTTCGGACTACTAAACAAGTATTGATTTAGAACACCGGAGAGTTACCGCAAGTCGCAAAGAAAACAGAAGCTGCCTCCACTATTCCAGCACCATTTCAACATCATCAAATCACCTATGCGCAGACCAGCTGGCTGGTGTGTTTACGGATATATTCAATCTCTCCCTTTCCCAGTCTACTGTTCCCACATGCTTCACGATGGCCACCATTGTTCCTGTACCCAAGAAAGCAAAGGTAACTGAACTAAATGACTATCGCCCCGTAGCACTCACCTCTGTCATCATGAAGTGCTTTGAGAGACTAGTCAAGGATCATATCACCTCTACCTTACCTGTCACCCTAGACCCACTTCAATTTGCTTACCTTCCCAATAGATCCACAGACGATGCAATCGCCATCATAGCTCAGCATTCAACACCATAGTACCCTCCAAGCTCATCATTAAGCTCGAGGCCCTGGGTCTGAACCCCGCCCTGTGCAACTGGGTCCTGGACTTCCTGACAGGCTGCCCCCAGGTGGTGAAGGTAGGAAACAACATCTCCACTTCGCTGATCCTCAACACTGGGGCCCCACAAGGGTGCGTGCTCAGCCCCCTCCTGTACTCCCTGTTCACCCATGACTGCGTGGCCAAGCATGCCTCCAACTCAATCAAGTTTGCAGACGACACAACAGTAGTAGGCTTGATTACCAACAATGACGAGACCGCCTACAGGGAGGAGGTGAGGGCTTTGGGAGTGTGGTGCCAGGAAAATAACCTCTCACTCAACATTAACAAAATAAAAGGAGATGATCGTGGACTTCAGGAAACAGCAGAGGGTGCACCCCCCTATCCACATCGACGGGACCGCAGTGGAGAAGGTGGAAAGCTTCAAGTTCCTTGGCGTACACATCACAGACAAACTGAAATGGTCCACCCACGCAGACCGTGTGGTGAAGAAGGCGCAACAGAGCCTCTTCAACCTCAGGAGGCTGAAGAAATTCAGCTTGGCACCTAAAACCCTCACAAACGTTTACAGATGCACAATTGAGAGCATCCTGTCAGGCTGTATCACCGCCTGGTACGGCAACTGCACACCCCGCAAGGGTGGTGCGGTCTGCCGAACGCATTACCGGGGGCAAACTACTCACCCTCCAAGACACTTACAGCACCCGATGTCACAGGAAGGCCAAAAAGATCATCAAGGACATCAACCACCCGAGCCACTGCCTGTTCACCCTGCTATCATCCAGAAGGCGAGGTCAGTACAGGTGCATCAAAGCTGGGACGAGAGAATGAAAAACAGCTTCTATCTCAAGGCCATCAGACTGTTAA